CGGGCGCGGCCGCTGGGGGAGGCTGATTACGTTTCGGCTGGGGGCATTCTCGTGCGAAGTGCCCCGGCTGTTTGCAGTTGTAGCATTCGATCCTCCCTGCTGGATTAGCCATATGAAGGAGAGCAGCGGGAGGGGTTGATCCTCCTGCGGGAGGGGCACTAAGCAGAGGGTGCTAAGTGGGGGCGGGGCGGGATGGGCTGGGCTGGGATTAGCGGTTACTAGTTTTGTCATAATCTGTTCTAACCGATCCATCTGGGAAGTCTGCTTCTGGAGCAGGTTATTCATCCACTCGGACTGTTTAGTCGTAGCGGTATGGATCATGTGGGCCAGATGCAGATTGGTCACGGTGATGGGAACTGATGCGGCTTCTTCGGCCATGACCGTGTTCACAGGTACCGCTTTAGGAGGGGGAGGAGGTTTCGTGAGGGGGAGGGAGTGATATGGGGAAGGATCCGGGGCGGGGCCATCTTGGTAGTCCTGATCGGGACGAGGGTAGAATCGCCCTAATGCTCTGAGCTAGGATCGTCTCTTGGCCGCCACGTCTTGGATCGTGTCCGAAATGTCTTCTTCTCCCTGACTAAGATACTTACGCGTGTCCAACAGATCTAGCTCAAGGGCCTTGGCTATGATAACTAACAGTTGGTTTGTCTTGGGAGGCGCCTGTTTCTGCAATTTCGCCTTCAACACGGGATTGCGGGGATGATCGATAAACAAGTCCCGAGCCACGTTCTCTTCCCGTCCCGATTTGTCCAAGGTGGTCTGAAAACGATCCACGAAGTCGGGTAGCAACTCCCCTGGTTCCTGCGGACGGGTTTTCAGTACGAACCAGGCAGCATCTTCACTGACCGCGTCAAATCGTGCTAGGAACGCTCTCTTGAAAGTATCCCAGTCTACCCACCGATGCCTTCTAAACCAATAGTGTGCCTGTGTTTCAGAGTAACAGGGTGATGACGAGGGGAAGATCCTCAGCGCCATAGCCATGTGCTTGCACGGCCTCAAGCCATGCCTCTGGATGAGTATAGTTAGGATAGAAGGGAAAGGTAGCGGGGATGCGTACCATCACCCGGGGAGGCGCTCCATTAGCATCAGCCATGGGCATCTCTGTTCGGGCCTTGACAGATCTTTGCCGAGTGACAGGAGGGCTGAGGCGATTGGGTGGTTTAGTTGATCTCCCTCTCGCCAGCTCGTCTTACTAACGTCAAAACCGATATGTATCGGCTCCGATACCAATCTCACGCCCTGCGCTGTCTTTCATTCAGAGTGTTAAGGGTGCGGAAAAGGGGGCCCCGAAAAAAACAGCAAGGATTTTTGGAAAATTGAGTGTGGGGACACAGATGGAACTGAAATCTCCCGTGTTGGTCTGATGAAGCGAGAGATCTGGCTGGTTTCGACGCGGGCTTGGAGTAGGCACTCGTGGGATTCGTGATGTGGGGAAGTTTGAATTCAATCGAGGAAGTACTGTCGGACTTCCCACCGTGCCATGGCCCTGCGTTTGAAGTGAAACGGAACGGGCACGTGTTTAGTGTCCCGCTTTCGCACTAGCTCCCGACGTCGTATGCTACACAATTCTGAATCCGACGTGGATGGCCTTAATCGCGCGGCCCTTTCCCTGCGCTCATCCTCATTCCGTGTTCGGTATAGAACCCCTTCGATTGGTAGTGGTCGAGTCGTTGGCAATCACTACACAAGGTGTTCGGCCAATGGGGCGCTACTGCCGACCACGAAATGACGATCAACTCCTTGAATGGTAATAGCAACGAGTACGGTGGAAAATGCGTATTGACGATGACAAACCCTGCGCCGACAAACCCAGAACACCGATTTTCAGGAGGGAAGTAGTATTGTCCACCAATCTTTGCGACGGCTTCTCGTATGTCTCACTCACAGATTCGCGTCTTGTTCTCGTTACACGGGAAGGGGCGAAGAGGGGATACGGGAGGCTGGCTCCTAGTCGGGTTGAGCCCGGTAGTCCACATGGCAAATAATCAGGAATATTTTAACCATTCATCGCATGCATGCAATCCTAGCAATCCAATCGGAAAGGTTAGAAAGGAGAATTAGAGGGTTCGGGGAGAGAGAAGAAAAACTCATATGTGGTGGGACGCGGCTGCTATTTCGTGCTCAGATCATACGTGGCTTCAGGGGTAAGCCGTAGGAGTCGTGGACTCCGGGCGGGGGTGCTCACAACACTTCTCGGTGGTCACAGATCAATCCACTCTTGCGTTCCCGAACAAAATCCCAACAACATTGCTCCTGCCATCAATTCGTCCTGAGAAAATCTCAATCAAGGCGGGTTTCATGTCTGTTCATTCCCATCCTCCATACATGCATTCACTGTGGAAGGTGCAAAAATGACAACCATACGATGTCCCGACACAATTGTGTTAAGGGCGAAATTCTTAACGTTGGACACACGTGCATCCACCGTTCACAAGACAAAAACCACTAGATCGGGGGACTACCCAGGAAACTAATGAAAAGTTCCAGAAGAAATCATTCCAATCATACATTCATCATACCCATTCCATCACACGCCAACTTTTGACTTATTATGTAGAATCATTCACATCNGAAAAGTTCCAGAAGAAATCATTCCAATCATACATTCATCATACCCATTCCATCACACGCCAACTTTTGACTTATTATGTAGAATCATTCACATCAAGGAAGAAGGAGAAGGAGGAATGAGACAGAGACAAACGGGAACATCAAGATCAGAGGAAAGAGTTACACTGAGATAGGGAAAGGAAAAGAAGGTCCGGCTTTACCGCTGCAAAATCACACCAAAGAATAGATTTGCGACCAAGAGGGCGCACTTGACACCAAATTCCAATATGGCCCCGCGCCAGTCATCCGCTCAACTCAGATCACCTGTCCGCATTGGCCGTCGCGCGTCATCCTCCACCACTGTGATCGTCACCCCGCCAACTTAGTCTCGACGTAGCTTGCCTGGATCCCACAGTCCGTCGTGGCGATCTAGCGCACCGCCAGCCAGTCTACAGTTAGCTCGTCAGGACTTTCCGACTCGCACCGTACACATCACCTAGCCACTACTTCCCGAAAGTTAGCCGATGAGTTGAGAGAGAGTTTTGCGGGGGCGCCGGCGGAATTTATAACTGCGAGAAGGGAGAGAGACGCGGAGAAAGGCGAAGGGTGAGGCAGAGGAGGGTAGAGGAGAGTTTGAGAGTGACCGCCCGTCGAAAGCCATGTTGATCCCTCCTAACTCGACCTTAGCCAATCAGAATCRTCGCGCARTATGAACTTACACGGYGCTTCTCCTTGGCTAGAGGGGGAGAGAGGATCGACTAGGTTTTCGAGCGTGGATCTTAGAKCGGGAAGAAGAAGAGCGCGAAGGATAGCGCGAACGGGTCCAAGATTCAGATGATCAAGAAGGAGAAAAAGGGCGAGCGCTGAGAAGGGGAGGGAAAAGCARTTACRGGGGGAGGGAGCGAAAAAGCGTGTGCGCGCGAAGAAGGACRGTGAGAGGAGCGCGGGGAGGAAGGAGGAGGGAGCTTGCCTGCATGGCGCSGATCGGCAAAAGGGGAATGTGCACCAAGATAGTTGCGGTTTTTCCCAATCCTATGCTAATTCWAAAATTGAAAGCACCATATCCGCRCGCAAAACTGGCGCGGGAAAGAAAGTCTTCCGTCCATCCACATTCCTACAAGAATTTCCCAGAGTTTTCAAGGTCGAGGCCGAGAACAACCGCGCGCGGAAGGTCACGCGGCATTCCGTTAATTCCGGGATTTCTAACTGCCAAGCCAAATTCTAAGCGCACTCGTTAAGGCGCGGGAAATTCCCAAGCCTTCTGAATCAAAACAGAGAAAAAAAAGGAACTGACAGATTCCCACAAGGTACCTTTAATCGGGCACAGACCGAGAGGGGAGGGG